TCCTGTGACTATATGTATATATAATTATAGTTGATATACAATATTACTCAACATCAGCTTCAGAGATACAGTGCGGTGGTCCAGCAATTCCACTCTTAGGTATTTATCCAAAAAAATCCAAGATATTTGCATGTCTTAATCTATAACATTTCAATATCAACTCTGTAAAGTAAGATTTATGTGTTCAAATGGCCACAACTACAGAAAACTCAGGGTCATAACTTCCTTATCCTCTGAGGATCCAATGTTGGAACCACCTTACTAAATACTACAAAAATTAGCCAAAATGTCCATGAATCCCGGTAACCACAAAATGGGTGTATACATGTAATCTGCATAGAGTATATTTAATAGGCAACTACCCCTTTATGGAAGTCCTAATTCATGAAGAAGGAATATAAGGGAGAAGTGGGTAGAAATAAGAATTCTGGTTGAAAGTTTTGGGACTAAGAGAGGAGAGTTTATCCTTGTGTGGATTTTGTCAGGAGGTATGATGGGACTAAGGAATAGAGAGAATGGTTAAGATAAAAAAGAAGTGCTGGGGGAGAAAGAAGAATTGTTTGATTAGAACTGGAAATCAATATCTGAGCCACGTGGAGGCCAGGAAAGGATATGCTCCTGTGAAAAGGAAAGAAAATTTTGCTTGGCACTAAAGCGACTACATGTAGAAGAGATGAAAAGGAGGGGACATGGAGCACATAGCAGGATCGAAACTTGAAAGAGGTGGGACAGTGACCAGGGAGGCTTTGTAATTTTCACATACCCACTTCATCTCAATACCTGGAGCCCAAATTCAAAGGCAGTCTGATTCCACCTGAAAAATAAGAAATCAGACTGGCGTGGTAACGGATCATGTACTACCAGTGTGGGATTTATTTCCTACCAAATCATGAGATGCTTAGTACCTTTGGGGAGTTTTATACACAGTGAAGATGCACTGAGCTGCTTCTCTAAGTGTTCCTCCATCTTCACAAAGTTGGAAAACATGTTACTCCATCTCAGGAAGTTGTGTGTGTGCTAA